CGTTATGATAAATCACAGAGAAAAAAATGTGACAATGAGTGTGTATATGTCCATGAATGACTGAAAAATTGTGCTGAACACTGGAATTTGACACAACACTGTAAAATGATTATGAATCAATAAAAAATGTAAAAAAAAAGATTACGGGTGGTTTTATTATTACTATTATTATTACCATGTCTAATCCTTGTGGTGGTGTTCAGTGCCTTTACAATTAAAGAAAAAGAGGGAGAGATAGACAGACAGACTTAACCCAGCACTAAGGAAAGGCCCAAGAGGACCAGGGCTGGGATGTGAAGCAGAAATTGAGAACCGCCCTACATACCCAGAAGGAGGAGGCCAGGCAGGCCTGGGGGAAAGGGAAGCCCTCTAGGTATGGAGAGGGTTGTAATTAGTCTGATGCTAATTACAGAAGTCTCACTAGCTTATTAATTTTTTGGACAGACTGAATGAAGACTGAATTCCTTCATTAAGCCAACTTGGGTTCAGAGGCACATTTCCTGAGTGGCCATACTCATTCTTCTCAAAAACCTAGCCTTTTCTCTTTTTAAGGACAGCAGTAAAGCAAAATTTAGTAACAGAAATACACACCCTGGAGAAATTAAGATTCCTGCCTTCAATGCAGAAATTCAAGACATTTCAGGGAACTAAAGGGGCTTAAATAAGCAACCAAACTACAATGTTTTCTACGCTGGGAAATATAAACAGAAGTGCAAAATACTCAGCTCGGTATTAAAGGCCCCTCTGATCAGGTTCAACCCATCTTCCTGATATTACCTCATATTCGCCCTCATACATCCTGTGCTCCAGACGAATGGAACCACCCCTGTTCCCCAAACACCTTCTTCACTTTCCTACCCCCGACTCTGCTCCAGCTGCTGTGCCCATCTGAAAGTCCTCGCCTCCCTTACAGTGGGACTCCTACTCAAGTCTCACCCCTCCTTTAAGGCACAGCTCAAAGCCGTGTCCCTCTGGAAGCCCAACCCAATCCCTGTACCCTGAACTCATCTCTCGCTCTTTGAAGTGGACCCATAGGCCCCAGAATCTCTGAAAGAGTCACACACAGTCTGCCTTGTGGCACAGGTATCCAGGTAACTGCCTTTTCTACCAGATTAAAGCACAAGCAACTTGAGGCAAGGAACTTTCAGGCTCCTGCGTGGAGCCCACAGTATGGCCTGGATTATAAGCACACAGTATAGGTCCTCAGTGAACACTCCCCTGGAAGACAAGAAAAAGAGACGCATCACCTCTGTGGAAAGAGGTCACTTCCTACCTCAGTTGCTCCCGTTAAGCAATGCAGAGGCGAAGGCGTGCTCTTCGAGGGCCTGGAGCAAGGGAGGGATGAATCCTGCTTCTCCGGTTTCCAGCCTTCATGAGACTCCAATGTCCTCCCTAGTTGACCATAGTCTGCTCGGCCCCAGGTAAACACCTTGCCAGTTTCTAGAAACAAACATTATTTGAATGAAGGCTACATTCCACAGCTGTGCTCCCATGGGTAAGCAAAGAATTCCAAGAGAAAGTGTGAGCATTCATTTTAGTACCAATACCACATAGCGGGAGCCTTCCTAACTTCCTTTAAAGAAAGCACGCTTATCCACGTGTTTAGAGATGTGGGAACTGAGGTTCAGAGAGGTGATGTGCATGACTTGACCAGGATCAAACAAGTGGTGACTGCCAAAGCTGGATTCCAACCAAGGCTGCTTCTATAGCCTGTGCTCCTGCACTTTAGCAGGTGTGGACACGGCCACAGAGAACACTCTGACAATGCTATACAGCCCACCCACCCTCTTCCCTCCCTGTACTCTTCAGGGACAGATAATGTCCGTTCTCAGGGTCTCCTCCCTCTCATGCAATCCAGAACCCCCACCAGCCACCAGCCACCAGCCAATAGCCACCTTGAACTTCCCCAGGTTCCTGACTTGCCCCAGGCCACAATCTCTCAGGGCCTTACTCTGAGCTCAATTAAGGGCCAGTATCATGTATTTTTCCCTCCATGTAACATAGAGAACCTTTCATAGACTATGCTCTTACCCAGAGGAGCAATTCTAATAGTCCCAAATGTAAGTGTCTATGTGTGCTAGAGGGAAGGGAGTGAGAGAAGGAGAAAAAGACAAAATCATTTAGAGCTAGAAAAGCTTTCAGTCCCCCAGATGCACCACCTGGGAAGCTGGCCAGTGCTAAAGATGACTAAAGAAAATGAAATTTGGAAAAAAGAAATGGCCTTTCTTCTCACAGATAAGAGAGAATCCACCAAACTTACTCAGTTATACCAAGTGGCGCATTTGTTATTTCAACAGAAATGCAAAATCTGATGAGGCATAGATTATTAACAGATTCTCTGCAATAAATATGCATAACCATGTGCGCTGTATAAATTCTTTATACATGTTTATTTTAACAAAGAGAGACAAAACACCAAGTAACGCATATTAAATTCTAGACAAATCTACTACATACTCTGTGTTTAGTATCAAAGCTTCATCTGGCCCCATATTCAACATATGGTTTATAGCGTCAGCTAAAAACAACCAGACTCAAGGGGGAAATGTCAGGATTCTGAAGGGATCCAGGGCTCTGCAGGGATACAGTTCTCAGGACCAGCCTGCACACGGACACCAGTGTGGATACCAAGAAGTTCAATGGAAGTGACTTCCAGGCTTCCTCAAAGAGGGAACAAAGTCTGTGCAACCCATGGGCTGCCAGGTGTATTACAAGAACAGAGAGTGGGTCCATTCAGATGTGATTTCCATGGCCTCATGTGTGCTGACCCTTTGCCGTGGATGCGTTTACATTATTCATCTGACCAACTATGCCTCAACTTTTACAGTCCAGCTCATGGGCCACCAGTTCTGCAAAACCATTTCTTGACTCCTTAATTCTCCACAGAATGGGTGAACCCTCCCTCCTGTGAGCCGCCTTTGTTACTGTACTCCTCACTACTATGATCCTTTAACAAGAGAGAAAATTAAGGTTCAGAGAAGTGACCAGCTAAGCCACATCTCCTTCTACTAGCCCACGGTACCACTCTGTGTTGGTTATTCACACTCGTCCACATCACGGCATGACCTCTAAACACTCTTCCTTCACTTCTGTAGGATTAGAACAAAAAAGCCCACATGCTCAGGACCCACAAATCATCCCAACCTGGCAAACTGTCCTTCTACTTGAGCTGACTGGGATTTACAACCAGACTGTCTTAGCAAGGAGGTGCCCAAGAAGCCAGAGGATGACCTCTTAAAGGACACTAGCATTCCTCTGTTGGGAAGAATGGGCAAGTTGCTATCTGCAGGACTACAGAAAGAACTGAGTTATCACAAACCCCAACAATGAATCCTTTCTCATCAAGTAAAACATCTTAGAACTTTCTCTGCTATTGATTATTTTGACGTTCAAGACTGCCAGAATATGGTGCTACCACGATTACATTTCCAACAGCAATTCAACCATTCCACTTATGTAGCACTTTCCACCTTTAAAGCACTTTACAGAGATTAATTAATTAATCTTCATGCTCCCTGGGGAGGCCATAGACATTTTATCAGAGACAACGAGGCTGTCTGGCCACATGGCCAGCCTTTGGGCTCCAGCCTAAGTTTGCTCAGCCAGGTAGGTATATACCCTGAAGCTGTCTGTCTGTTTCTCCCCCATATACACTCTGCATTAGAAGGCTCATGGGGGACAGAAGAGGCTCTTCTATCTTTCCTTTGCTGACCACCTCCCAGGTGCCCAGCATTTATAGACACTAGATCTCAAAAAATTTTCATACAAATTCTGTGACAAATAGATTATTAAGTTTATTTTATAGATGACACTAGACAACTTGAGAGGTTAAATGATTTGATCAAGTTCAAGAAACCAACAGGTGGTAAAAGCAAGATTTAAACCTCTGTCTTCTGATTCCAAGACCAACGGCAGAGCCAATAATTGCACAGCTGCTGATGAAACCTGGCTGATGAAACAGCCATTCTTACAGTGTTTGAGGAGGAGGGGAACTCAGATTAAATGGATATGTTCTGTGTACCATCCAGCTGTCTCACTAGAATAGCCTCCTTCCCAGGAGACAATGCAGAACTCAGAACTATAAGCACTGAAATAAAGGCGTTAAACAGAAGGATTATAATTTTAGATCACTTGTAGTAAAGGAATACAGTGAATCCACATAAAAAAGATCTTCATTAGTGCACTATAGATAAATGTCTGCCTTGCCTGAAGCGTGCTTTCAAATCCAAGGATATTTAGATCCCAAAGGTAACAAGTTAATCTTTTCCTTGGAGTAAATAATTATATATTACTGTGATAAAAAATAGATATATTATCATCCAACAAGTATAGGTATGAGTCTCCAGATAAATGGGAGAAATGACACATAGCACAAAATAAAGTAAAATATAATTTAAAGGCACGTCCATGAGAAAATTAACATAGAATAACAAGGGAGCCAAGAAACATACATGGCCAAGGATCCCAATGCAACCAAGAAAACCACGAGGCCAGGTGAGTGGTACTGACAAAGAATATCTAAGGAGCGTGGAGGGAGCATTCCAAGCTGGAAGTGTCCTGGCAGGCTTGATGGAACAAGTCGCATTAACTGAACTTCTAGATAGAAGAAGAAAATGAGAAGATCGGGGGAATGTTCCAGAAGTGTGAAGAGGGCTAAGCAATGGCAGAAATCCAAAGGTACAAGGTGGGGCAGGTGGAGGGAGTGAGGGTCACAAGTCAGGGAGGTGGAGGCGAGTCCAGGATGCCAGGCTGGGGCCGCTACAGGGCAACACCAGGCTTGGGGTCTGGACCAGAACTTCCATACTCGTTTGGTTGCACTCCCTTATCAGCAAAACATTTTTTAACATACCACCAATATATGTATATTTGTTTACTGAAGTACATACTTGCATTATACACATCTGTGAATTATAAAGTTACCCTAATTCAAAACTACAGTGTAAAACGTAATCCAAAAGTAGAAAATTAAAAAGAATGAGATAAAAACATATAAAAGAAGTCAGAAATTTCTCTTCCCACACCTTGGCAATTCATCTTGCATGCTCATGATAGGGTCTACTGCTAAATAGACCTTCTGGGCAGGGGTGAGGCCTGATGAAATGAATGTTTTGAGATGGTACATTTGGCAAAGGACTGGATGGGGCCAGGAATAATAATACTCACAGCTAACACTACCTTCCAAAGCACCTACTATGTGCCTGAGCATTCTGTTGTAGGAATTCTCTATATACTGTTCTAAGCCTTCTCTATGCAGTATCTTGTTTACCCCTTCCAACGACCTCGTGAGATAGGTGCTATTACTAGCCCCATCTTACTGATGGGGAGAATGTTCTTGGAGTGGGGAGAGGGGATAAGTCACAGTAGGAGTAGGTGAAAAGGGAAGAAAGGAAGGAAGGAGAGAAGCCACTACAATGACACAAGCCTAAAATGCATCAGCTGAAGCTAGTGTTGAAGTCATGGGGCGGGGGTGGGGGGCAGTGATGGGTAAGAATCTGCAAGGCTTGGCACCCCATTCGATGTGAGAGAAAAGGAACAGGAGGAGATAAACAGCACTCTAAGATTTCAGGATTTCAAGGTTAGTGGGAAGGTGGTGGTGCCATTAAAGGAAACAAAGGGGCAGAGACGCTAGGTTAGGGGTTCCGCTGGTGGGAATCCTGCAGTGTTATCTCGTTACCAAATGATCTAACTCTTCTAGGGCCTTTTGCAAACATCAAACAGTCAAATACAAATAATAAGGGAGTGAATGAGGAGAAAGAAGACGAGGTGCAAAGGCCTGGGGTGCTCTGGGGTCAGAGGAAACTCAGGATGGTGGGTGGTTGGGAAATAGTCACAGAGCCAGCTTCCTGTACCATCCAGAGGGCTGCCTGGGATGCTGGTAAAGGAGGTTCTGTAGCCACAGCCACAGGCACAGTAAGAAGCTGCTCCAGCAGCATCTGGACTCCTCAGGGAAGGGGAATTTCTTCCGTATTCTGGGGAAAGGGGCCCTGAAGGTGACAAGATGACAGATTACAGAGTAATGTAAGGAACACCCATATTGTCTTAGCATAATCTGTCCCAGAAGGGAACAGAATGTCACTGAAGATATCAAGGTGGAGTTAGCAAATAGAAGTGGTTGTTATAAAAAGAATCCCATGGGTCAGGCAGAGAAAAGGCCATACAACCTCTTCAGTCTCTCCCACCTTGGATGCTCCAGGATGGTATAAAGCCTTCTGGAATATACAAACATCCACAGCCACAAACACATATGAGAAGGAAGCCACTCTGTACCTATGAGTTATACTTATAATTTATCTGTTTATAAATACCACTTACTCTCAGGGTTATTAATTCTAAGTCCTTAGAGTCTACGAACCTCATTTCTGTAAACCCATCCTTTGTTCTGCCATGTTGACAAGGACTTTATATAAAAGGCACTTGATGGTAATAACCAAAGACTTTGA